AAAAGTTGGTTGTAAGCACTCCGTGAAATGGTATCACCCGAAACTCAAGCAGGATTGCAATCGAATGGAGTAAAGACTGTTGGAATGTGAGAACAACTTTTCGGCCCACCGTCTTGCACAAGCACAAACGCTCCGCTGGTACAGGTTGCGCTCCGAGACACCGACAGACGCCTCGGACCGACCTGTGCTAAGCTTCGTTTCTGTCACGCCACAATCGACGACACTACTTATATTCAATATGAGTATATATCCTGAAAGTATCACTAATTTGTTAATACAGAGCATAATCGGACTAGGTTGCTCAGGCTACTGTTAGGAATGAGGGTATCAAAGCCAAAATTGCGCTTTATTGAAGAGGTTTGACCTTACTTTTGCCATTTTGCCAGACTAGCCATAATAGTTTTCGAAGTAGGATCGTGGACTTTATACATTCGAAGACATTTCAGGCTGTCTTTGCGGAATAACAGGAATCGGCCGTCGAATTATTGTCTTCATCAGGCGCTTTATACAAACTAAAAGTTTCCCCAACAATGTCATTTCAAGAGCTTCACCGAAACTTGTTGTCTCGATGAGTTGTCTGTTGCCAAGGCGGCTTACAACAAACGGACGGGGACATCCAATCGACGGTCCAAGGCCGGAGGCAGGTGAAGCACTAATTGCATTTTGAGACTACCAACAAATCGGGCGAGGTGTTGGTACGACCTATGCGAGGTCGAAACTGCAGTCCACTTCTGCCCGGATGAGAACACCGCTTGGTACAGCAGGGCTATGTGAAATTCACTGGAAAACGTCAGTTCTCCTCGCAGCATTGTGAAAAAAACCCATTCCTAATCCTTCATCACCTTAGACGAAATCGGCTGAACACATCTCATACTATGGGTATGGTCAAATTGATGGATAGTCTCGAGATCCTACATAATTTGGCCACGTCTGGCGAATACACGCTTGCTTCAGCAAGAAGCTGACAATTGAAGCACTTGCTTTGAGCTTCATTTGTGCTCTGTGCTCGCATGTCGAAATGGAAGGCTGCACTGGCGCGATGCAAGTTCGAGTCCCGCTGGGCGTCCGGATAGGACCGGTTGAGACGAGGTCGAAGCTAGACTCCAGTCGAGCTGGGATGGGCATAACTTTTGAGGTGAAATTCACTGAAAACACGAGGCCTACTCGTGGGATTGTGAGAAAATCTGCCATCCGTCCCTCGGCACCGTGGCAACCCAGACCGACCGAAGCCCTCAAAAGAAACAGCCCGAAGCCAAGCAGAGTCTTTTCAGGCAAATGAGACAAAAAGAAGCTAGCGCTAAGGCGTTGGGGGTGAGTTGTCGGTCAGAAGAAAGACCAACTGGGGACCCTCTCAGTGGCCTAATCGAGTCCCACAGCACAGTTGCTATGCCCTTATGGCCGCGACAACCGGTTTTGAGACTACGCCATTTACCAACTATCATTACGAGAAGCAAAAACCTCCTTTTCCTTCTCAATTTCAGGCTAATGAGGCCGTGACCTACCTGACCCGTATGCGTGAATCGCAAACAAACAAACTGACATGCATACATACAAACAGGCATACAAACATACATGCATACATACATACATATACACAGACAAACATGTACATGCGCGATACCGGGGAAAGATGGGCATGCAGGTGGTATGGAACAAAATTACGATATTGCTTCGGGGCAGATGGATTTTCGACTCTCCCTCCTCTCCCCAGTCCCGGGGGGGTAGGTGGAGGCCTGAAGAAAATATGTTTACCTCAAATTGTTGCTGCCAGTGCTTGCGTCTCGTCTCTTTCGTCGCCATGGCTGTAACTCGAATGACGGTCATGCAGATTGATGAGTTGTTCGGACAAAATGACCCAGTTAATGTATGCAATTCGGTCGGCGGACACAAGAGGTGTAAAGCCGACCCCTTTCGAGGCGGGCAAAAGGACAATGAAATTCGGCCAAGGTTGCCGAGACAAAAAGCGTCTGGAATGCTGTTGCCACGACACGAATTGGGCGTCACGACGACCCGAGGCCGGACGACAGAGGCCTCTGAGGCTAGGGCAAAACGCGAATTTTATGGAGCAGCCAGTTAAATTGACATGTTGCGGTGGTCGGGCCCACTTGTTGGGTGAACTCTGCACTGGAAAAGGTAATAAAATGCTCTTCCTTTTTGTGTCCGTGGTAGGAAATCGTGACGCAAATCCTCCCGGTCCCGCCAGTCGACTAGCAAAAGGAGGGCTTCGACGGTTGTCGAGGCTCTGTGGACACGGTTACGAGGGCGGCGCACTGGCCGAAGAGGAATTCTATTCATTTTGAGACGTGGCTGGTTAAAGTTTGGTGCTAGATGGGCTTTTCCTTTCCCAGCTCACTTATGATCGGTTGTTCCGGAGACAAATATTGCCCTTTTTTACTTGTTAGGGGGGCCTATTCTTTCAACTTTAGATAATAGACTAGGCGTTTCCTTATGACTTCGTTGAGTGAACATGTCATAGATGGAAAGTATGAAGACCAAGATGGTGTGGTCTTTTTTGTGTGCTCGCAGTCTCCTTCCATTGTATACAAGTTGTTTGACCTTGTTTTCGCAACTTGGTCAGATTGGTAGGAAGACTGATAGGAATGCAGTTTGTCCTGAGTCAATTGTATGCATAATTATTTCCAAAGTCGGACCGTGGACTTGGACCGTGGACAAGGAGATTATTTACGAAGAGAAACTTGGTTTCGATATATCTCCCGAGATAACATTGTTAGGGGGACTTTTATTTCGCATGAAAGTGCATGAAGAAGAGATTCGTTGGTTGATCTCGCCAGATGAGGACGGATGATGTGTAACTTTTACAAGAATGACACCCAGTTCTGATGATGTCCATCGAATGATGGAGGAAAGCTCAGCCCGTTTTCATCCGAAACGAGGCAGGAAGTCCCGTGGACTGCGTCAACATGAATATCGGGATTCATCCGTCCTCATCTGGTGAGATCGAGCAACGAATCTCTTCTTCATGCACTCTCATACCAAATCGAGGTCCCCCTAGCAAGGTTATCTCAGGAGATTCATCGAAACCCACTTTCTCTTCGTGTCATTTTTACTTGTTGAGCTCATTTCCATTTCGAGTGAAAGTGTCTGCTGACAGAAGACGACAGCGGATTTCTCTTGACCAACCGTCGATTAGCTTTACTGGATCATTCTTGTTGATGCCATCTCCGTGCTAAGCTTCCGTGTCTTGTATGACGAATGATATCATTATTTTAATCATATTCAAGCTGTAGATATGAGGAGCAACAGGGTTTCGATGAGCCTCATAACATAACATTGTTGGGCTTCGAGCTCCGAATTTCTTTATCATGTACTTTCATACGAAATGAAAGTTTCCTCAAAATATTCAACCTAACGAGTCAACAACACTCACCGGTTCATCCCTAAATGCTCTTTGATGAGGTATTTGGTTAGTTATTTGGTTAGTTCCAGTCAGACTCTGCAATGATCAAGGCTTATCTGGTCTGTGCGGTTCATTTTCACTCATCGACACCAATTTTAGTCTTCATTTCTGCGATTTTTGCTGCCACTTTCGTTTTACTCGTTTATAAGCTTCACAACAGGCCGACTGCCTCATGCACAGCCTACTCAATACGAATATAAGTAATGCCTTGCGCCCTTTGCGATTTGGGCGCAAGTCAGACTAAACTGACTTATCGATCGGCAAGTACGCCAATCATGGCTAAGACACACACGTACTCGAGGCGAGGCCGCAATCGGCAGGTCTGAGCCGATTCAAAATTGCTTTTCGCATGCGTCATCTGCCCTTCCGTTCAGTTCCTAGCCAATCAGAGCACTGATGTGGCAGCCATGCTTGAAAAAGGCCACCATCTTGGTGTTCATATCTTTGAAAAAGGCGAGTTGAGCAGAGCAGACATTTGATCGGGGCTCGTGCTGCCGGCGGCTTTGGCCTGCGCTATATCACCGCTTGCTTCTCTTGGTCGTCATGTGCCCACAGACTCGGACATATTCGCCGGTCAGTGAACCGTGTCAACCGGCACGGTTGGGTGCATCTTTGGGGACAAAAAGAGGACATTTTCTGCTTTTTCACATGCTTCCCGAGGCGGCGTCGACTGATTGCTTGCATCATTTCGCCCGCCCTCTCCTCTCTTCAGTTGTCCGCCAGCGGGCAGCTCAACTCCTCCATCGAGTTTCCCCTCGGCGACAGGTTCCCCTTCACGCTGGTCGTCACCCTGTTGCATCAGGGCTCACAGACCTCCAAGCCGGCTCTTCTGCTCGAGGCCAGCGCCAGTGTACCCAACGAACTGGTCTGTGTGCAAGCCCTCGCCTGCCCCGAGCCCGAACCCCTGCCCCTGCCCCTGCCCGTGCCTGTGCCCGATCCCGTGGCCGAGCTCGAGCCAGAGTCAGAACCCGTGCCCGAGACCACGACCGCCAACACCAGCACCAGCACCACCACCATCGGCAGTACAATTTCCAGCCCAACGACGTCGTTCGCTGCTCCCGACTCGTCTTCTGTCGGCCTTTTGCTGGGGCCCTCCGAGACTGCCACAGCCACGAGGGCGAGTGTTGCCGACGCATCAACGGCCCTTTGGTCCTCGTTGCTGGGCGACAGTGAGCCTCGAGTCTGGTTCATTGCCACGGTCTGTTTGGCCTGTCTCTGTTTCCTGCTCATCTTCTGCCTCTGCCTGGCTGCAGTCTGCATTCGACGTCTGCGCAGAAAGTACCTCCGACGACGTTGTCGTGGCGTCTGCCGGTTCGGCTGTCGTTGTCAACCGGATCAGGTACGTCAAGCCGCGGCCGAGGCGGCCGTCTGCGGTCCCCTGGCACCCGTCTACCCCGGCGGACGTAACGCAGCCACCGCGGCAGCCGCCGCCGCCGCTGCTGCTGCTGCTGCCACGGCAACGTTCCGTCACAACGGACCCAGCGTCGGGGCTACGTGTTACCGCGGCGGCAGTCTGGCCGGCCTGACCGGGTTGACCGGCTTGACGGGATTGATGGGTCTGACGGGTCCGGGCATGGGCAGCTACGCCGTCGGGCCGGGAAAGACGAGCGGCTGGAGCGGCAGTAGCAACGGGCCCGGATTGGCGGTGAACGGCGTCGGAGAGGCGGGGACTCGAGGCTGCGGAACGCCGGTCTACGTCTCGCTGTCGGCCAACCCCGGCCTGGTTGGCGTCGACCGGTCCATCAGCCTCTCCGGCATGCCCGGCCTGTCGGGGCCGTCGGGCGGCCTGTGCGTCTCGGCCGACCTGCCGGCCTCGGCGACTCCGCCGGCCGGTTTGCCCTACGGCCTGATCGCCGACGAGTGGCCGTTGCTTGCCTTCGCCGGCGCCTATCCCGCCGGTCTGCAACCCGGCCAGCCAGCCGTTCAGCCGGTCGTGCGACAGCCGGTCGGCGCCGGCCGACGGCCGCGTCGCCTCTCGCAGGACGCCATGCAGCGCAGCGGCAGCGACGGCTCCAGCGTGTCCGGACACACGGCGCCGCCGGGACTCGTCAATGGGCCCAACGGTCAATTGGTCATTTTTCCCGGCCAATCAGCTCCCGCCTGCGGCCGTCTCGCCTCCACCGTCGCGCTCGGACGCCACTTGCCCTCGCAGACGCAACCGCAGCCACCGCCGCCTTCGTCGCCGTCGCCGTCGCCGTCCAAC